TGTTCAGCCGAAAGATCTCTATATAAGCAACTTCACTTAAGATAGAAAACTTATATGTTTTCATACTGATTTTCATCAAGATTATTCCCACTTATCTCTTCAACAATTTGCACTGCCGATTCATGATCTTCGGCGTTCTTTCTGTCGAATTAAACATTAATTGGGGTATTTTAAAGTCTTTCTCATTAAGAGAAAAAAGGAGCTCACACGGTAACAACTAAGCAAATTCTTGTCGAACATAACTGTTTCAAGCTTAAGTGTTGTAAATTCGATAGCGACAATCTAATGCAGATAAATTCAACTGATTCGTTCTGCTGATTATCAATTCACCATTGTATTTTACACTAAAAGCTGCATATATGACACTTCATAAAACACCCGAAATTCACACATTTTTCATCCTAATCTTTATTCACCATTATTTATTCACCAGCAAACATTAGTCCCAATATATTTACTTCAATATTATATAGATCAAATACACTTGTACCACGAATAACGAAAGATAATTATTAACATTTCAAAGGTAAAGCCATTCAAAGCTCTTTCTTGCATAATAACTCTCGATAAAGGTATCTAAGGATCTCATTCACACTGTTTGAAATTAAAACATCTGAAAAATAACTTCTAAGTCAATATCTTCCATTGAAGATATTTCAGACTCCGATTCATTGCATTTCATATAAAAGCATCCTTAAAGATCCTTCTTGTTCAATAACACTTATTTCAGGCCTCGTCATTCACCAAGAAAATCCTTTGACGATTCTTCTATTTCCAAAAAAAAAATATCAATAAGACTCCAAAAACGTCACATACGATGGATTGACTGAAAAGGATCTTTAAGGATCCTTGTCGATAAAAGTGAATGAATGTTGCTTTCACATATCTCAAATGGAAGGTAAAGGATTAAAAAGACCTTTCAGCGTCTTTCCCCGTTGATTTTGAGGAAGGAATCTTCGAAATACCTGAAATACGCTGTTCGGTGAAAAAAATCTTTAAATATCCTTTTCGATAAAAGTGAATGAATGCTGATTTCAAATACCTCAAATGGAAGGTAATGGATTTAAAAGACCTTTGAGCGTCTTTCTCCGTTGATTTCAAGGAGGAAGTCTTCGAAATACCTGAAGTCTTCAGTGGTGAGCTCTGGATCGCTGCAAGTGTGGTATGGCTGAGTGGATGATCGGGAAGCGGTGCGGGAGGGTTTGGGCATTGGTGACGGTGGCTGGTAATTTAGTTTCTTGGTGGGGCGACTGTCAAGGATGAGTAGGTGTGGTGGTGTCAGGAAATATGCTAGAGATTTGCAGAAGATTGGAACTTCCGGAGTTTTCCCGGGTGGAATCGGTCTGATTTCGTTAGTTCCGTGGCGTGTTCCGATAGTATTCCGGGTGATCACGGGTCGGTTCCGGTAATTTTTCCTAATGGTTATGGTGGTGGGAATAGTGCGGAATACTCCGGTTACAATACGGTGATTTCCAAACGGAATACTGCTTCCAACTTCCGGATAGTTTTCCGGCCCGTTTCGGGTTGAAATGTTGTTAGAGATTACCGGAAGTAGAGGGAAATAACGCCTTTTCGTTCCGTTTCTGGTCGGTTTCGGAGTCCGGAATCATCGACCTGGGAGTGTAAGTAATTATCAAAATAGATGAAAACATCGTTTTATTCAAAGAAAATTCTTTATTTTGATATTAATTTTAAGTTATTTTTCCATATGTGATCCTTTGTTTTACAACCGTGTTCTCTTCTTCTTCAATAATTCCTTGTGTTTAAAAATCTGTGGTTGATAATCATCAATATCATTTTCTTGTATAAATATAAATGTATATTATTCGTTTATGACAGTTTCAGAAATTTTTCATTCGAAAAATGAAGTTGAGTAAAACTATGAAAACAATGGATTATATACTGTCGATTTAAGATATAATATTAAATATCAAAATTTATATTTTCATCGTATTTCTATGTACTTATAGTGTACTTATGAATAGGACTTCATTTCATATCCAGACAAGTTAAATATCTTAAAAGAACTACTTCTTAACGAACATGCTGGCTTCGTTTGTGTTAAAAATTTTTATCTAGATACTTGCTTTTTTAGACAAAGAAATTGGTTTTTCAGGCGATACTTAATTTTTGTGAATCTATACTGACGAGCACGTTTCTGATTAAAAAGAAAGCATTCAAATTTTAAATTCGAATGTCAAACGCAGGATGAAAAAATAAGAGCATTCTCATATGTGATCAACACAGAAAACTTTAACAATTAATAAACCATTCATAGAAGAATTTCTTTATCAACAAATAAGTTTTCGATGCATTTGTCGTTGTTGATGACGTACTTAAAAAAAAAGCTAACTTGTCAGACCTTGTTAATTTTTTCGTCGCTTAAGAAAAAACATTGTTAAGATAAAACAATTGACTATCAATTAGTCAACTAATGAATAGACAGTCACCAATAAACTGATTATACTATCAATCGTCAAATTGATCACATAATCAATTATCAAACAGAAATTGTTATTGTTATTTTTCTTTTTCTTCCGTAGAATAACATATAAATATACGTTATTGTATTCTATGTAAGTCATTCAATTCAATCGGCGAGTTGATAATAAGTAAGCATCTATTTTAAAAATAATGTATATACTTTTCAGGGGTGTTACATTACAATACACAAGGTTTAACAATGAATTACAATTACAATTACAATGAAATTATTATAATTATTATTGCTTTTTTTTCTCATAACAACTCTTCTTAAAAAGCTGACACTAACCTATTCATTTTTTAGAATGTATTCTCATCTATCAATGACAACCAACCAGTCCTGATATCAAAAATAAAAAAATGTAGGTATAAAACACAATAAATTAATTTCTTTTTGTTTCTAAAACTCTAGAGGTGTTACAATGATATCAAATTACAATGCAATTATAACTTATTTTCTTTTCTGTTTTAAATAAATTCAAAACAAAATAACTTACTTATAATTTCTTCTCATTTAGATAGTTCACAAAAACTATTCGACGAAATTAAAATTAAATTAAGAACTAAAATAAAATGAGAGTAGATGAGAATGAGCGATTGGGTTGAGTCGAAAAAATAATTATTATTTCGGACAGAATAATAAAAGTTAAAATTTATTTTTAACGCAAAAAACTACAAAACAAAAAAAAGAAGAGCCACTCATTGTTACTAGAAACGGCGAAATAGTGTAGAACTAGGAAGGCCTTTTCATGTACACGAGGTCACTGTCGTCGTATTTGTACATCATACCTTGTGTACATTGCCCTACCAGTCTGGCGTGGTTCACTCTATGTGTACCCGTTTCATGGCCATGGGGGTTCTTCTTGGTCGCCCGCGCGACTAGTGAATATTAATTAATAATCATTCAAGCTACTTTATTAAACGAATACCTCCTAGAGAAAACAAACATTTACAACTTCTTTTTCACTGCTGCTATCCTATTCATTACTTTCTTAATGCTGGGATGTGTTGAAGGAAGTGACTGTTGTTTAATACTAAGGGCCTTTTCTAGATAGGAAAGTGCTTTCGAGTATTCGCCCATGTTTTTATACACTAAACCGATGTTGTTGTAGTCAGACGCTATGTGAGGATGATTAGCAGGAAGTGATTGCTGATTGATTTTATTTGCTTTTTCGTAAAACTCAAGTGCATTCGAGTATTCACCCATGTTTCTATACACACTACCGATGTTGTTGTAGGAAGTAGCCAAATCGGGATGATTCGGAGGCAGAGATATTTTCGTTATTTCGAGGTCTTTTTCGTAAAATTCAAATGCTTTCGAGTATTCGCCCATGTTGTTATACACTCGACCGATGTTACCATAAGTAGAAGCCAATGAAGCATCATCTTCTGGAAGAATTTTCCGCTTGATCTCGAGTGATTTTTCGTAGAATTTAGCTGCTTCTGGGTATTTGCGTTGATCATCTTTCAAGTATCCAAGCATGTGATAGATATGTGCTCTATCACTATCAGTAGAGGCATTCTCGAGTAATTCATTGTAGAGTTCTTCAGCTTGATTGAAATGGCCCACTTTGAGCATCAATTGGCCCATTCGACGCCATCCAGTAGAACCTCGAACCTCCTCTTTGATGCAATCAGTAAGACCAGCAAGTTGTGGATCATTATCATCAGTAATAGCCAAGTGTACTTCCCAAAGACGATTATTCTTAGCCGTCTGTTTAATTTCAACGACGCGAAAAACAGTGTGCATTGTAAATAGTATTTCTTGTTCTGATGGAATAGCACTGTGTTCATCAATCATAGCAAATGAAGTATTCGAAGTTGATATTTTACTTTGATCAATAATCATAATAAAAATAACGCCAACAATGTCTTGGTTATTTTTCATAGTACGTTCAACAAATTCCATGCCCACTTTTGGTTCCATCAGATGAATTCAATAATTATATCAACATCTTTTCAATCTTAGTAATATGAAATCAAAAATAATCACTGAAATATATGTTGTCCATTAGTGGTAGATAATAATCGCTGTGAGCCAAAAAAACAGAATTGACATTCAAAATTTCAAAAACTTTCCTACATCATGTTTCTTATGAAAGTCTATCAAGAAGAAGACGAAATAATAACTATAAGTACATATGGGTGAATTTCGCTGGTATTGTACGGTTTGATAAAAAAATTGGAAAAAATAAAATTGAACAGCTGAATATATTGATATGTACAATTGGATAGAGTATATACAGCTTGTCCGTAGGTAACGCACTCACGTTTTGCCAACTTTCGGAGTGATTTTCTTAGCAACAACTAAAGCTTAGAGCCTTAAAATTTTGAGAATATCTGTATGTTATGATGCGTTGTAACATGCATAAGTTTCGTTCTAATTGGCTTTAGACTGTCGTTTTTTATATGAACAATACATGCAGGTAACGCACTCACAAAAAAGACCCTCCTTATCCTAGGTGATGTCACATTGTGTGAAATTTCTGCAAACCTTTGAATCGTAAACAGGATAGTTGTACGTTAATTTATCAAGGACAGATAGGGCTCTCTATATGAAAAATTAGCTTTCAAATCTGACCGAGACTGTATTCGAAAAAATGCATGTAATTGAGCTATAGATTCATCAATATCTTCTTGAGTAATTTCGTCGATAATGATCACCTTGGTTCTGGTTTTTGCAATATTAAAAAAATCAGCTGCGTTCTCACATTTATCCTTTTTCGTTAATATTTGTTGCCAAACAAGTATTTTAACAATACCACCGATGGCATCAACCATCCCTTTGGCGTGGCTTTTAAATTTTCACGGTAACGCTTTCGTTTTTGTGCGTTCGTGAGAGCCATTATGTTTTTTTTAACACAATAAATATGTAAGACTGACTTATGATGTCTAAAGGTGACTTAATTTACTGCGAAGTCTGAAATGAGAAGTATACAAAAAAACACTTTCGTGAGTGCGTTACCATTTTTTTCTTCCATGAATAGAGATAAATCACAACTAACTTAGCCCCTAGGTAGCAGAGATCGTCACAGGGCATTTTTTTCTGCCCTGCCATGTGCCCTGCTTCTCTCTGCCCTGACCTGTCCTGCCCTGATACCCAGGGCAGGGCAGGGCAGGGCAGGGCACAGGGCGAAGTATATCACTCAAATTTGGACTCCAAATAAAATATAGGATATTCAGAAAAATTTTGCTATTCTATTATATCCAAATCGTTCGTAATTTATTTTCTTATTTTTAAAAAGATATAAGAAAGCAAAAGGTGTATACAACAAAGAAAAACAATCATGCATTTCATTTGGAATATAAGATAGGATGAAAGCAAATCACAATAATATGCATATGAATACATCAAAAAGAAATTTTGAACAACAAAATGAAAATAAATATGCACATGAACGAAACGCTACAAATACAAAAACAAACTAAAGATTAAAATAAATTTTTAAATGAGTTATTTTAGTTTCTGTAACGATCTTATAAATAGAATATCTTGAATATGTTCGGGATTGATGTTTGTTCTTCGTTGATTTACAATTAAACCTGCACTAGAAAATTGACGCTCTACGCCGCACGACGTTGCAGGTATTGAAAAGACACGTTTTGCTAACTTGGATAATAATGGAAATTGCATTGTATGGTTTCTCCAAAAATCTAATGGATTATTCGTCAACGAAACCTTGTCAATATTTAGAATTAAATATCGATCTAATTCATCGAACTGTACTGTATTAAATTCATATTCATCACTTTCATATGGAGAATCTTGAAGATCATTTTGTACTTCATCATTTGAGTAATCATCCTCGAAACACGCAAATATAGTATCAGCTGTTTTGAATACCTTTTGCTGCGGTTCAGATGGAGTTTTATATGATTTAGCAGTTGTACCGGCATCAGTTAAAATTTTCAACTGCTGTCGAATATATTCATGACAACGAGTTCGTTCGTCCTTCGTACAAAATTTTAACAGCTTATATTTTGGATTTAACAATGTCGCACAATAATGGCGTACATCCAAACAAAAAAGTTCATCAATCAGAATCAAAAACCTTTCTCTGAACCATTTGATTCCTGAAATAAAAATAAATGTAAATAAAAATTGTTAATCAATAATGAGGATGAGGACATAAAAAAAACTGGAATTAGAAAACTGAGTTTTCTCTGATTAGTAAGAATGCAAATTTATTACGCGTTTGTTTGCACTATAAAGGCTGGCTGAAAAAATTGACTTCAAATGAGATTCTATTAAACCACACAAGATAGTATACTTTTTTTGAGGGAACAATTTATTTAAATACAAGTCTGACCTTCTAATTCATAGTCTTCGTTTTCTTCAATTTCATTGTTATGAAGTGTGTTACTCTTTGAGTTGCAATGTTTGTTAACATAATCGAGTAATGATTGGTGCGATGATAAAGCATGTTTTAAAGATAAATTACATAACAAAACCATATGCAACGATGGCGAATTTCCGGTCTGGACGAGGCTCGTTACATGTTTTAACGGCTTTAAAACAAGAACCAATTGTTTTATTGTCGGTAAATCCAAATCGCTCACTAAAGAATATTGATTTCTGGATAATAACAATCGTTTGGTTGCCTTGAATGATGTTGATATGCTTTCTAACAGATTTGACATCGACAACCATCTGACAATGCACGATTGATGCAAGGTAATACCATCTTCTTCTTTGATATCGTTATTTATACCTGCCTAAATAAAAAATGGAAGCATGATGTCATCGTTAAAAGGATAAAAAAATATATTTCTTTGGAAATTCTGGTTACCTGTTTTACGTATTTTACTATTTTTTTACATTTGTTTAAAGTTCAAAGTACGTGTTTGGCTGATGATGGAATTTGATCTATTGTAATTTTTATTTGAGCTAATGAATCATTTTTTGATGATGTAGATTTTTTAATGGGTTTTTTCGTTTTTTTAGCAACTAAAAGAGTCATATCGTTGTCACAGTCATTATCAGTTGATACTTCACTGTCTTCTGTTGAAGATTCTTGAGTTTCATTATGATTATCATCCTCGACTTTTAATAATGCAAGCTGACTTGTATCAATTGTATTTGTTGAGTCGCTCTTTTTAAAGTGTTTTTTTTTGCTCTTGTTTTGGAAAAACGTTATTTTAACAATATTGTTCAGTCGATGACCATAGCAGAACAATGGTTCGAAGTTTTCAAAAGCACACACGAAATTACTACCACGATCACACACAATATTAACATCAGATAACGAATCAATACCGAGAAAGTTCAAGCAGTTGAGAAGAGACTAAAACAAACAGAAGTATAATTAAATTTCAGCGTTGTGAACCATTAATTCTAGTTTTGCAAGTCAAAAGAGAATATCACAACCATATGATTCTAAAATTGATTGTTGAACAAATTTTATTTAGGAGACTATTATAAGACACGTTACTTATTAATTGATTAAGAATTTTATTTTGGACATATGCATTTCTCGATTTAATTCAAATGTACATTCGTTAATGCTACTTTAGAAAAGTTTTCACATATGAAGCCCTCTTGTCTGTAAACTGTGTGATGTAAAATTATAGTCAAAGTCAAACTTGCACTCACAACGTTTTCAGCTGACTTGGTTTTGTATTCAAACGGTTTACAAAATAGATCGATCGAGTTAAAATTACATTTATCATCGACCATGATAATAGTAATACCTGAATAAGAGATTTTTCGATATGGATCAGTCCAAAAGTCTGGGCATATTGTCAATGAATGCTGCTGTAAAGGAATAGATAACAGCTCTTTCAGTTTTTCACGTTCAGCATCAGCAAATGTAACAACGTGTCGCGATATTGTTTTGTCACAACGTAAAACATCATTAATGTCGAACATGCCATACAAAGAACCTAACAACGAAACCAATCATATTATCGACTTAATTCATTCATTTTTTATTACCAAGTCGAACACATTCTTGTGCTAAATGTCTAAAACCTTCGTCACTTAATACGCTGAAAGGCCGGATATTACCACAAACCCATTGAACTGATAAATCTTTGACTTTTTTTACATCTTTTTCGCTGACTTTTGTAGGTTTAATGAATCCCATTTGATGTAGAGTCGGTTGTATGGATACATCTGATGATGGCGAGGAAGATATAGTAATTGATGATGATGAAGATGTTAAATCAATTGATGATGATGAAGATGTTAAATCGATTGATGATGATGACGATGATGATGATGAAGAAGAAGATATGACTGTTTCATTTATTATTGGATAACATTTATCAGCATGTTCTTTATAACGTTTGGTTCCACTTGATTTGTTGTGAATTTGTGTATTTTTACATTTAAGACAACTAATGAATCCTTCAATTCTTTGAAATTCTCCTTTATCATCTATTTTGGCTGGAAAGCCAAATGCTCTCCACCACAAAGGACCCTTTTGAGATTCATTTCGTATAACCTGATATTGAGAAGGTTCGAATAAGAGACGACGTTGAATATTTCGTGATTCGGATTGATTCATATTAAAATAATAACTAATGCATCAAATTAAGAAGCATATAAGACACAAGAAGTTCAATGATGTACTAATGATAATAATGGAGCAAATAGGACGTGCCGATCACAGTGAAAACGTATCTAAATCTAAAATCACGTTAAAAAATTGTAGTAATAAAAAAATAACTTGTAACATGATATTATTATTTATCGCCAAGATATGTTTCAGGTCCATTCAAAATGTCTTTAGTATTTAAGTCTAACTTTTACTATTAATATTAGAAAATGAATTGCGTCAGATCCAATGATAAAAAATGCATTATGTTTAGTGACCATTGGTCAATACATTGTAAAATGAATGTCAACCAATTTACAACGACATCTACTCATATCTCCCATTTTGTCAATGAAATTTCACTACAATTTTGTCCAGTAACTTACTACATGAATAAACGTCTACCAAAAAAACAATTTGCCCTGTCCTGCCCTGCCCTGTGACGATCTCTGCTAGGTAGCCCATGAAAAGTAAGCGAAAATGTTGAAGTTGTGAACAACATGATTCTACAGTTATCGAGAAAAGTTAACTGTAAATCCTTTTTGGTAACACACTCACTCAAGAATTTATCAAGTTTTTAAGACTTTCCTATTTTTCTATCATAAAGGCATAAGAACTATTATGAATATCAACGAATAGTACTATAATGTAGTAGATTCAAAAACATATGTCAAACTTCACTTGACATTTACTTTTAAACGTTTTTTTTCTTTCGTTCTGTAACGACATAAAAATGACATAAATTCAAACATAGCTGTCACCAACTTCTGGCACTTGAATTTATCTTCTTTTCAGAACATAACAAAATTCAAACTATATATTCTGAAACAGGAAAATGGGCTCTGCGAAATAGTATACCTTATTTTTAAAAAGGTTCAGCTTCTACTTTAATCACTTTGGTTGACCGTTAGCCGGACAAGCTGTATACTTTGTTGTGTATGAATCAAGTATTTCCCCCTACTAATTGGCTTTGATTTACGCAAAAGAAATCGAAATCTCGAAGCATATGATGGGTTCTAATAGTTTTCTTCACAAAAGCAAAATTTTGAGTGAAATTGTTTAATATTATTATCGCATATCAATCAAATCATTTTAAAAAGTAGACTCCAGTAGGTGTGAAGATAACTTTATTTGCATATTTGAATGCATATGCAACAGAAAAGTGCAATCATATGTGCCACACCACACCAGAAAATATAGGTTTCTTCAACGAATCACTGTACAAAAGATAGATTTTCTACCGGAAAAAGAGAAATATTCAGAAAAAGTAATACGACTGTTTTATTCAGCATTTGACGAGCTATCAAAATACACATATGTCGCTAATATAATTGCTATTTTTTTCTTGCTGGTCCGCAAGACCAAAATAGTTTTACAAACACTTTTTTCTTTTGTGTAAAGTAACGCAAAACCTTCCATAGTAGACAAAATAGCGTAGCTAGAAATCCAGCAACTTCCTCAAGGCAAAGAGCTTTGTTCAAGTAACTAAATCGTCAAAACAAATTTCAGTCTTCCTGTTATCTTTTTCGTGAAAAGTAAGCAAAATTTTTCAAAAATCTCTTCTTCACTCCCTTTGTAGAGTAACATTTGAAAATTATTTTATGTTTATGTCCCGATAGATTGAACCGATCTCGCTCGACTTAAATAAGTAACAGGAAGCCATTCGACTGTCGTGCTACCAACTTTACGGATGAAGATTATCAGTCAGCCACGATGAATTATTACTTTAGGTATGGCAGAAATCATTTAATGTGGACATAATATCTGTCATGAATTGCGATATTATATGATTTATTTAATGAAAATAACTAATACTCATTGTCTCCAAACTGATGATCTATTCATTCCATGCTATCGGAATCTGCTTTCATAGCAGAAAATAGCGTTTGAGATAGGAAAAAATGAAAATCTGTTAAGATTGCCAATATTGCAACTATCTTAAAATGTATGGATCCAGGCGTATCTCGACCTCCTGACAGATGGTAGTTGGGAAAATTTCACCTCATACTAAGTAAACAATACTGAATACGATACACACCTTAGATTTCTTCCCATTACACTTTCATTTTTTTTGCTAATCGTACAGTAAAAATACGATTCACTCACATATAGGTTTGTAGACGGTCATAATCAATTAACATGATTTATTCACGTTTCTTATGAGCTGTAGACTTTCTACATTGTAGTAAATGAGTAAAACTCAAACCTGATGATCATTAGGCGCACTATAAAAATCTTCAGGAATATTTATAAAAAATTTCTCACCCGAGAGAAATTAATGCAGTTCAAAACAAATCTTCTTTCTTCAAAAGATGTATCATTTTAATATGTCGTGACATTTAGTGAGATGATAGCTGTGCGTCTGTTTTATTTTTAGTTTCTTAATAGATCTTGAGCTTTTATTCAATCAGAATCATAGGATCGATAGGTACTACTCAGCAACTTTCGTTTTTAAACTTTCGTGTTTCAAAATTTCTTTACTACTGAGTTAAAATAGTTGATATAATTTTATGGTAAGTTGGACGAAACAAATGAAGCATTGGAGAAAAAGATTGCCCAAATCGGTTGAGTAGAAGTTGAGAGATAAGCTTTTTCGTGCTTCCAGAACAACCGCACAATACCAGCGAAATTCGCTCATATATTCCCATGATAATTAGAATTTCATTTAAATGATTATTTTTGAAAACTTTTAATGAAAAACATTTTGTGATTTCAATTGTATGGCAAAAACCTCAATTACCCCTATTGATTATAGTCTATTCTCGAAAAATAAAAATAAATATAGTATTATTTTCATTTCATGAATATCATTATGTGTCTAGAAATTAAATTCACTACAGTTATCTAATGATATTTATATCATTTAAATGGTTATAATTTTAAATAATCATAGTTTCAATGTTTGTAAATGTGATGTTGAGAATAGAATCTGAATACGTGATAACAAGAATAATATCGTGCGCTAGATCTAACTATGGTTACATTTGAATAAGCGAGACTCATTTGAAGTGTTATACCAAATAGCACGACTATTTATATTCTTTCTGTCGTTAAGGACACCCAATAGAACTGTATTAAAAGGAGATATGTTCTCTCTTCTATTCTCAGAACAACAAAGAGCAACGAGAAGAAAAAGGACAGCTTCCTATTGAAATATTCACTACATCTGTCCATCTAATAGACGTTTAGCTATAATGCAGGATAAAAAACGCCACAAGTATCTTGTTAAAGACTTTGTTTTGTTCATAATGAGGTTCGGTAAAGTATAAATTGATTTAAAAAAGGTGTATATATTCCAACTGAATGATATAAAATAAGCGGAAAAAATGAAGAAGATGTTCGAAATTGTATCAACAACAAAAATGATAGTAATACCGAATAAACTAAAGGACAATTAATTGAGTATTTTCAGTAGCAAATATTTAAAAAACGTACAAGATAATGTTTGTAAAATGTTTGGATAATTTTAAAAACATTTTCTTGTTAACACTATGGTGATCTTGATTGTGGTAATCAAGAATGAAAAGTAGTTGAACAACACATGAACATTCAGAAGTATATAAGCAGATATTGCATCAATCGAAACAAAAAAATACTTGAATCAAGTTTTCGTACTGACAGAAAAAATAGTTTAAACATATTGAAAAGGTATGGGTATGTGTATGTTGAATTCATTGAGACAAAGTCTCGAAAATAGAAAAGGTAAAAAAAAATTATATTTCTGAATATAAATAATATATCAATAAAAATTGTTGTTGGTATTTTTTAATTTGATTTAATAGATGTATTTACACACAAGGATAATTACAATTCATTATGCTGTGATCAGCCAGGAATTTCAGACACGAAGAGGAGAACAATAATTATTTTACAATCATTGTCGATGTATAGTTCAAAAAGGAATGAAAAATTTTGAATAAAAAAGGATTTCATTGAATAAAGGTGATTTCAACTGATTCTGTATCGATTAATATGATTCGTGTACGAGAGAAAATTTATATATTCTTATAGTTCATATTTTTAGAAATTGAGACTTGTAAGTACTCTGTAAATGAAGTTCGAATAATGTGGAATTTTACTCAAGTCAACATCAATGATTTTATCTTATGTATTTTTTATGCAAGTCAACTGTTTCCATGTAGTTTATAAGATTTTTGTTTCTAAATTAGGTAAGACCCTTTAGTCATCATCATTTCAACTTTCATAGCATTTTAGTAAAAAATAATAAGCTAGAAAAGTTTAGACTCCAACAAAGAAAATATAATCAAAAACAATTTCGAAACTTAGAAACTTTGTCTTGCTTTTATCGAAAAAATCTAACAGGTCTTGATATAGATTCAAATTAAAGAAAAACTAAAGATTCGAATTTCACTCAAATGTAATATATTATAGATTATATACATAAATTGATTGAATAATTCAAACATTGTTTTTATTAAACTTCAAATTGTTTGTTTTACCAAGAATAAGACATGACCAAATACATGGAAGATGTCATATTATAGATAATATTGTGGGCCAGCTAATGCTGAGAACACTGACAACATTAAAATTAAGAGTTCAGAAAACGACTTATTCTCAATAAGCTGTGAGAAAGGTAGCATGGTTTATGAATGATCTCTTACTTGTTGATAGAAAATTATTAAACGATAGTAGACCACCTTTTGAATCTAGTAGACTCTGAAAATCTTCTTTGCTCATTCCCTGACCACGATAAACGGTAAATGATTTCTTAAAATTTGCCGACTGTTCCTGATGCAATTGTTCCAGTTGACGATGAAGACTTCGAATAGAAAAGCCTAACTTAGACATCGCTTCCGTATCAAGCGATCGTAACCCACGATTAAGCATGCCATATAGAAACATTTCACATGTATACCACCAGACCGGTGATTTCTGATGGTATTTACGTTTTAGTTCATTTATTTCTGTGTCAGGAATTTCTTTTTTTTTGCAATAAATTTCTAAAGCCTTAATAGATTTGGCATCATCATCATTGATTTCTAATACGATGTCCTTGAAAATTACCGAGTACATATAAGTAGGCGGTAATTGGTTAAGATTTTGCACGTTCGATGCTGCATATGTCGTGCATCGCTTCGGCACGAAGCTCATCGGAATTGAATCATGATCGCACTCATGAGCGACCTTTTTGAGCGATTCACATATTGGTTTTATTGAGGTAAATACACCTCGAATCTTTGGCCAATCATTTTGCCCATGCTTCATGGCGCGCCTTGTTGCCACAAAAAATATAAATAGCATCCACGCTTGGCATATCATGAATGTCATTTACGAGGCTTTGTCCTAAAGCCCCAGATGAAATGACGAAAGCTTTTCCATCGTTCATTTCATTGAGGAACTCGATACATTCTTCGGGTGTTCTGCATACATTCACTTCACTTACCACTACGCGCAATTGTGCCAGCGTATTCCAGCAGTCTTCTGCGTTTTCATCGATGTTACCATCGACCCAAATGACCAGATAGTTCTGAGTCATACAATGTCTTGATGGCATAGCACCCGATGGTGCTTTTCTACTTGAAGCAGTAGACTTGGCTTTTTGCTCACTCATATTGAGTACGTATTTTTGCTTGATTAAAGTCGACAATTGTGAACAAAGTTTTTTATTTATACATAAATTACTGTTTCTATAGTCGGTACCTTTTCTTTTTTTTCTCTATTTTTCGGCGACATATAATCTGATTGCTTTTATTTTGTCTGGTTGCCATAGCAAGAAACTCCACCTGACTTCCCAATTGAGAAATACAGTAGCCAGTAGACAAAGGAACGAACGAAAAATTCCAACGTAGCCATTTAATGCATTGCTATTCTTTCCAACTTTTGTTTGTTTTTCATCTAAACGACAACTCAAGTGACATTATATTTGATGCCTCGTCGACCTCATTGTTTATTTTTCTCTTTTTGGTAAGAACGAAAAAAAATCAAAGATTTCCTTTATACCCAGGTTGATCAAAATGGACTCGTTTACAGTCTGTTTATCGACGGTAAACGATGTCAAAACGGTTTATTTACGGCAGTAAATAGACCGTATTTACCCGTAATACCTGGTCCAGTAATACGGCACCATAAACGAGACTGAATTTTCATGGTTTACGGCTGTTTGTGCCCCGTACTCTCATGATTATACGGCCAGTATTACTGCGCCAGATATTACGGCAAACTTTCACCCGTAAAATAGTCGTAAAGTAACCGTATACGGACCGTACTGTTCGACCTGGGATAACTTCGAAGTTCTTCTTTATTCAAATAATTTGTTTCTTAGGACTTGAAGCCTGATAAAAGTTCAATAATGCCTGATTTTATCTAAATATGAAAATTAATGATAGAATTACATTTATTTGAGAGGAAAAGAAATCACCTGTTAGTTGTTGACCATTTTTAGTTGCTGATTTCCATTCACGTTCAGCTGATTGAAGTTCTTCAATTTTCTATCGCCATTCAAAAACAAAACAGTTCAGTTACTGCTTTTTTTCTTTTGTTACATTTTCAATTCCTATTGGAGCTTGTTTTACACAGTCATTTTCAACAATCGATGTTGCTTCACCAATAATATCATTCAAATAAAAATCAACAGTAGACAGTGATCGTCGAGATACTTTATTTTTATATGTACTAAGTAATATTTGATTTTTAGGGTTACTTTTCTGGCAAGCCGTTTATGTTCTTTAGTTGCTGTTGAATGTAATTGTCGCTCAAGAAGTAAGGTAGGCAGAAGAACTTTATGTTGTTGTTTAAGTTCACCATTCGAACGAATATGATGTTGTAATGCAGCATCAGTTTTTTGAGAGAAAAAGTTGATCTGATAATGATTGATTACGATCTGTTAGAAGGTTTGTTCAACCTTTTTGTGTTAATTCAGATAGTTTCATGTTTTTATTTATCAACTATTCAAGATTATATTTAGTATAAATATGATGCCTTAATACATGCATAGATTTGTTTACTTTTAATAATACATTTTATGAATTGAATTAATAATTTAATCATAACCATACTACTTGTTTGCGTTTTTATTACCCTTTGACCTTCCTAGGTCCTATAGGGACACCATTAATAACAGTTTTCTTTCGTTTACAAGCTTAAAAATAAAAGGAAAAACAATGAGCGTAATA